CTTTATGTTTTAATATGCTTTAACCTTAAAAAGTGGTTAATGGTAACTCTTACAGTCATTGCTATGTCACAGAATTTACTTGACAAATGAAAAAGAATAGTGGTTTTACATTAAACAGTCTATAAAAATTAGGAATATAAGTAGGTTCAGCTTGTTTCCCTCCCTCCTGTTTTACTCACTATTTGCGAAACTACAGGGCATTGGTGTATCCCTTTCGAATATAGACGGATGCTTTTAATTTGTTTACCATCATCATTTTTAAAAAGGATATGTAAGAAATACCTACTTACACACTGTTTGCATTTAAAGTTACTCACAAACGTAGACAAATAAATACCAGTTAACTCATCAATATCATACCTTTGTGATGTTCATTAGTGGATCATGAACTAATACGATACTGTAGATGTACCCAAAATAACAGGTACAGGTTAGTATACCAGGTTACTATAGGCTCACTTCAGGTTAAGTCACCTTAATCCACAATATCCATCATTTTGTGACTCACTAATGGGCTGCCAAGGGTGCTATAAAACAACTAATGTTTTGGCAGAAATCACTTTTCACCATGCTCAATGCAATGCAAGATTAGATATATCGCATTTGAATATATAGAAATGCCATAAATTGTTCACTGGATGTTGATAGTACCTATAATAAGAACTTTTCACAGTTACTCAAGGACTCACACCATAGCATATCTGTTTCAGAATGCTTAGGGTTTGTTTCATATATGTAATGAAGGCATATCTGTTTATAATAGATTGCAGGATTAAGGTGTATGGAAAATCTACTTGCTGTGTAGTATTAATTACCAATCATTAGTTTCTATTTAAATAGATTAATGATTAGACAAATTGATAAATCATGCAATTTCTTGTTAATTCATATTTATCTTAAAAACCTTTCGTCTGTACAGATAAATACAGATAATGCAAGTCATTATCTCTTTCTCTTCCCTTCATCCCTTGCCCCCCTCTCTCTCTCTCTCTCTCTCTCTCTCTCTCTCTCTCTCTCTCTCTCTCTCTCTCTCTCTCTCTCTCTCTCTCTCTCTCTCTCTCTCTCTCTGTCTCCCTCCCTCTCTCTCTATCTCTCTCTCTCTGTCTCACTCCCTATCTCTCTCTCTCTCTCTCGCTCTCTCTCCAAAATTTGGATCTCTCTCTCTCTCTCTCTCTCTCTCTCTCTCTCTCTCTCTCTCTCTCTCTCTCTCTCTCTCTCTCTCTCTCTCTCTCTCTCTCTCACTCTCTCTCACCTCTCTCTCTCTCTCTCTCTCTCTCTCTCTCTCTCTCTCTCTCTCTCTCTCTCTCTCTCTCTCTCTCTCTCTCTCTCTCTCTCTCCTCTCTCTCTCTCTCTCTCTCTCTCTCTCTCTCTCTCTCTCTCTCCTCTCTCTCTCTCTCTCTCTCTCTCTCTCTCTCTCTCTCTCTCTCTCTCTCTCTCTCTCTCTCTCTCTCTCTCTCTCTCTCTCTCTCTCTCTCTCTCTCGCTCTCGCTCTCTCTCCAAAATTTGGGTAATCAAAGTGACTTAATTGAAATGATCTTGGAGAAACACAGTGCCCGTAGAATGCTGGAAGCGAAATTCCTGCCAAAGAACAGCGGACATGTCAGGTCTTGTCTACAGAAAATGTTCTCAGACATCCGGGCACTGAAAGTAAAGGACTTTGAAGTTGATTTACAAGCTAATATTAATTCATTTAACCATGAACTTTTGAAATTGAGTATTAAAAATGGAAAAACATTATTGATACTAAAATGGCTACTGGAGTGGTTGATAATAATTATGTGTTATAGTGTAAGTTAAGAGAATGCTGGTTTCTTAAATAGTTCAAGTGTTATTTGTTTTATTAGACTGCAGTGCGTAGTTGCTTAAACGTTGAACTAAGTGACTCTTGGAAGGAGATCAAAAGGAACGAGAATTTTATGATCACACCTTAAAATGATGTAAACCATCGTAAGCTCAGTAAATACCGAGACATGACTTTCATCTCACACTTCTGTTGTTAATGTTGCTAACTCTAATGTCTACCGTAATGATAACGATCGTGGAGGGGGGACCTGTAAATACGTAAGGGATGATCTTGAAACCACTCGAATCATCATGAATACATTAATTGATGATGGACTACAGGATATATGGCTTGATATCCAATGCAAAAAAATGCCCTTTTGAATACCTATCAACTGCATTCCAAAAAATTACATAAGAAATAAACCTTCCTTCATTTTGGGCGATATAAATGATAATCTTCAAGACCGAAATACATCTAAAGGCAACTAAAATCATCAGAAATAATAAATCGACTCAACTAACTGATAAACCTACCAGAAAAACTGCATACTCATCGACACGGTCGGTGTCCTTATAACTAATAAGCCCGACCTTGTTATCAAATCTGAAGTCTGCTCGAGCGAAATAGTTGACCATTAACTTATTTCAGTGGGCATCAAAATATACAAACCTAGGTGTGAGACTGAACTTCAAAGATTTTTTTTTCTTTTCTTTTCTTTTTCTTTTTTATTAAAACATTAATCCCATAAAGTTTTGCAGCAGACTACCTGACCAGGTTTCTAAATCTAAATATGAAATAAATAGATGATGTAGAGATGTTACTAGGCATCTTAATAAGGTCTTTAACGAATGTCTAAATGCTCCGATTATCACCAAGTGCAAGTAATAGTTCTGTAATTTTTATTTTCGATCTGGATTATTAACTGTTCTGCATTGGAAGTACATTTGCGCAACTTTGCACACATCCAAATTTATTTTTCGTTAATTATCTCACTTGGTTATTTTCAGTGTTAAACAGGAATCGGTGTAAAGAAAAGCCCAATCGCTAATCGATTTAAGTTATGTCTATTAATTGTATCGATGACATTCAAACCAACATGTATGTTTCTCATATCTTATCTACTTATCGTGCTACAATAATAATCACGTCTCCTGCACTTCTATACTGTTGTCTTGTCCAGCGAATATTAACTTCCCAGACGCTGGAGGAACCGAGTACTTTCCATGGGAAGAGCATTTGTCACCATGCCCGTTTCTAGTCATTCGAGAAAATATCTGTCTCTAAAGATAATAATAAGCATTAATTTAAAATATAATCCCTAACGGACATTTTCCCGAGTTGATGATGCTGTGCACATGCGCATTGCAGACGATGGGCGGGGCCATAACAACGACGTCACAATTGGACAAAACTGGCAGCAAATCCTAAACAGTTCGCCTAACTATTAAGACTTTTCGTTAACGTTAAAAGTTGGGGTAGCGTTGCCCATGAACCTCAAAACTGAAGTGTAAGAGGACTCAAATCGCGAAAAAGTGCCTCCTATCTCATTGTTTACATGTAAATAAAAAACTATTGGTTGCTACATAGAAAGATGATGCCAGTGTACTATTATTTCATTAATTACACACACAAATACGCACATGCACGGACACGTTCGCGCGCACACACATATATGCATATCTATCTATCTATATCTATCTATCTGTCTATCTATCTATCTATCTATCTACCGTAAACCGAGGTTACTTTGGCACTTGAGGGTGACTTTGGCCTCAGACACAGAATTTGTTTTATGACTCAAAGGGGCAGTATTCAAAAGCCTGAATATTCTTTGTAGTGTACCAATGTTTTATAATGGGCTTTTCCTCATAAAATTGATAAGCAGAAGAACAAAGATCAGTGTTCATAAAAAATTCTCAGCATCTTTACGTGTAGCTGCAAGCAGCCGTTAGTGGTGTAAAAATAATCTTTGCAAACTTCTTATTTAGAAGGAAAGAATATCCTGAAAACAATGTCTTAAGTCTAGTAAGCAAGAAGCTTTGGCCATATTAAAAAAAAAAAAAAAAAAAAAAAAAAAAGGACTATTTCCTTTATTTTGCCACAATTTTCATATTTTCTTGGACGATATTTTTTTTTCTTTTGTGAGGGGGCTTTGGCCCAAAGTATTCCTAAAGTTATGGTGGTCTGAATAAGGCCCCACTACACCAGAAGTCACCGACGCCATTTCTGTTGTTGTGGTGTTTTCGTTAAACTTGGTTCCTGTTCAATGAATGAAGGCAAGGCAAGATGTTGCATTCTACAGACCCATGAAGATGGCTTGGAGACAAGGCAAGTTTCCACAGCACCTATTATTGTTACATCAAGCATTGGAAGTAAACAATAGAGCTGTAGAGAACCTCAAATCAGGCTTAAAAAAAAAAAAAAAAAAAAAAAAAAAAAAAAAAAAAAAAAAAAAAAAAAAAAACAGGAATATTCCCTTTAAACAGAAATGAGGTGCTAAAAAGGCTTCCTAGCAAAAGAGATGACTCCAGCTTAACCAGTGAAATTTTCATTGAAAAGCTTGCTGACTTGAGGTCTGACACAGCAAGAGAACTAAGGGGAAAAAAAAGGAAGCTCGATGTTCAGTTCTTAATTAAAACTATGGAAAAAATCAGATTTTGGATAGGAAAATTTTCGAAATATATCAACGGATAAAAAATAAAAAATATTTTGCAATAAAAACTCTCTGAACCTATTTTCTATCAAGTAATATGAAAACCAAATACTCTCTCATATTACAGTTGGGCTAATCTCATCCCTTAAGGGTGCAGTCTTTGTCTTTTTGTACAATAATTATGGTTGGCCAAAGTCACCCCACATGCAGGTGACTTTGGCCCAACACTGATCAAGACTGCACTAGCTATGGTTCAATGTGAATTAGACTGAAAACCTTTGTGAAGGGTTCACACACAATAGCTTCACCTGCAAGGACCTCATAAAATATGGTTAGGATATATTATTAGATGTTTTCTTTTGTATTGGACCAAAAGTGGGCCAAAGTAACCCCGGTTTTCGGTATATGCATATTCATGTATATACATATATGTATATATATATTCGTCATTATATAGACAAATATAAACGATATATATGTGTGTGTGTAAACACATATTTCTTTATATACATAAATGCAAACACACACGCGCGCGCGCGCGCGCGTGTGTATATATATATA